ATGACGGCGAGTGATGCAAAATGCATGCTTCGATAAGCCAAATGCTGCCACTATTTTGGTATAAAGGCCGAATTCTTAAAAGAAATTGCTGTCGAATTGGATGATCGGCTAAATTGCTCATTGCTCTTAAGTTGGTTGATGGAAACTGCCAACTTCCCTTGAGCGCCAATATAATCTGCTCACTCTTATGAGTGCTCAGTTCAGGAAATTCTGAGCAGCCTGTTATGCTCCACAAAAAGCGACATTTGGCCGCACGGTGATACAGCTGAAGCGACAGCGTTGTACATACACACAAAACTTATTCACAAACCTTATTCACAAACCTTATTTCTTTTTATATTCAAGTCTGGCCGTGCATAGAACATTTGCGAACGGTTTCGCGTGTGTGCGCACATAACTTAGCTCTTTGCCAAAGTGGTAAGAGTGTCTTTGACGCTGATGACATTCCAATCCTGGGATGCACCATACGAAACGTCTGCAATCAAATCTCACAGATGCTAAGGTTGTGTTGGACTGGCTAGTGCTGGGCATACTCATGCATAAGTCAAGTGCAAACTAGTTGATATAGCCCAGAACCTTACAAATGGTGTAATGGTGCGGCAAGCAACGCGGTCGTTAACGGTAGAAAAGGGGCCTTGTCAATGCCTGAATTATGGCCCTTTCGGATTTGGATCGACAATTTCACGCTGTTTGATAATTGTAATAATACTGTTTTCGAGTCTACCCAGTTTATGACAAGGTGATGTCAAATGCACCAGCAACATTTAATCGTGCTACCTGCCATGAGGTATCTTTTCGTCAAGCTCGGAGTACATCGTCTAGATTCGATGCGATTCTTGTCGACAGCGACGGCGTCACCTCATCACGAGATAATTATCTGTCTATAAGGTTTAAAATATAACCGATTTATAAATCTTACAACAGTAATGTCTAGATTATATGAGAGGCCCAAGTTGAAGATTGTTCTACATTCAAAAGCAAAGTTCGCAGTGATGTTACGCACTCTTGTCCATACACTACCTCTTTCTACCCCTTCCATCTTGGCGCGCGCTCTGTCAACATCAGCAGGCGACATCACGATCAAGAAGGTGGGTATGGTCGGCTTAGGTCTCATGGGCCACGGTATCGCGCAAACGGCGGCTACTGCCGGTTTCGACGTTGTGGGATTAGATGCTGATCCAAAAGGTCTTGCTACTGGCATGAAGCGCATTGAAAACTCGCTTAATAAGCTACACAGTCGTAGCGTGAAGAAGGAGATTCTTTCACAGCAGCAAGCAGATGAAAAGACCGCCACAGTCTTGGCACGCATCACGCCGACGACGGAGTTAAACGACCTATCGCAGTGTGACCTGATTATTGAGGCCATAGTCGAGAATGTGGAAGTTAAAAAGGATTTTTACGCTAATTTGGGTCAAATTGCGAAGCCCTCGGCTATTCTGGCGTCTAATACGTCGTCTCTTGCCATATCCGACTTTGCAGGATCATCGGGTCGAGCTTCGCATGTCGTGGGCTTACATTTTTTCAACCCTGTGCAACTCATGAAGCTTGTAGAAGTGATTCGCACGGACTCAACAGATCCGAAAATCTTTGATGCTTGTAAGCAGTGGGTGCTGGATATTGGCAAGCACCCAGTAAGCTGCAAAGACACGCCTGGCTTCATAGTCAATAGACTGCTTGTCCCGTACATTGCTCAAGCAATCTCTTTGTATGAACGAGGTGATGCTTCTAAGGAAGATATAGACGTCAGTATGCAATTTGGCGCTGGCCATCCCATGGGACCAATTACGCTGGCAGATTATGTCGGATTAGACACGTCGCTCTTCATTTTAGAAGGATGGGTACATGACCACCCAAATGAGCCTGCATTTTTCGTGCCGAAGATTCTTCGCAAGAAAGTTGCAGAGGGTAAACTTGGCCGTAAATCGGGTGAAGGGTTTTACAAGTGGGACGGCGACAAGCGTCTGTAGCTTCTAAGCCAGTTGAGAAAGTTTTTAAGCAGCTTTTATTGTTAACAAAGCGTAAGTGCTGTCAGATGATTTATGTGATTCTACCTAATGGCGCTCAAAGATGACAATACAATCGAAATACTTACAGACGAGATTTTCCCGCAGCTTGGGAGGCAATAGGGTACTGCCTATCAATTTCAATATACCAAGCAGCGAGCCATGCGCGTTTCTCAGCTTCGCAGTCTTGGGAAATAGTGGCAAAAAGTGCGTTTTTCAGCTGACGCAAAATAGAAAGATTGTCGACCCAATACGCAATAAGTTGCTCAACTTCCATCGCGCAAACTTTCAAAATGACAACAGGTGCCATCTTCAAGAGCTCAAACACTAAATTGGCGAGGTACAGGGCATCTGATTCCCTAGTCGAATTGGCTACAGTTAACGTAGTCGTCACCTTTGTCGGAAACTGATTTTGTTCTGAGCTTTCATCAGAACCAACTCCTGAAGATGGAGACAATCCGTTTTCTTTGATGAACAACTCATTACATCGGTCACAACACTTTCGTATCGCCCACAAAGTCATTTGTTGAGCTATCTTCGTGGATACAGTGTCCTGCTTTGCCAGTTTCGTGAAAGCTTCAGAGTCAAATAATGAGCCAAAAATGGTACCGCACACCTTGGTGAGAGCTTGACGGGAAGCAGCGATCGGATACGCATCAAGTGTTTTTTTGAGGTAATGTGGAAAGACAGAATAGAGCGGAAAGAATTGATGCAGATGTAACAAACAGACATTTAAAAAACGATGTGCGAAAGCATCGACAGGCTCGAACACGTTGTAGAGTCCGGAAAAGATTAATGTAAGAACATCGTCGCTCAGCGACGCGCAATGGAACAACAATATGCGAAGCTTGCGCTGAACCATAAGACCGATTGCCAGTGTCTGGCATCCAGCAATAACATCCATTTCTGCTGGAATAATTATATGATGCCGTGCGGTATGAGATTGAAATATCGGTGCAAAAATTGAATCAGATGTACTTGGTGACTGCTCCAGCTCCAGCTCTAATTGCTTTGTCACAGCTTGCATAGGCACATTGACACTGGGTGACGCACAGATTTCGCGGGCGAATTCCATTCTAGAAAGGGCAAGGAAAGAACGCACAATGTATCGATTTGACAAGACTTCCAACAGCGGTGCTACCGCCTCGTAGAATCGTTGGATAAATGCGACAATTTTCGAACCTGGAGGAAGTCGGTGTTCATCTTGGACTGAGTGATCAGCTGTTGACTGGAGCTGGTTTGATGTAATCGAAAGGAATAAGCTCGGCGAAAGTAATTTTTTTAAAGCGTCCAATAGAGCAAGGTAGATCTGGCGTGATGAGCAGAGAAAATCGATCATGTCTTCAATACTAATTTCCACCTGTCGAAGTGAGTATTCTTGCAGATCTGCGTGTGAAGATTCAAGAATCATAGTCTTCAATCTCTGCTGAAGTCTTGCTTGATAATCCATTATCGCACCAACATCGTACGGCTTTAATTGCGAAGAGAGTAGCTGGAAGCTGACAAGACGCAAAAGGGCGAACTGACAAAGTAATGTCGCATTCCCAGACATTTCCGAAACAATCGAATGTCTCGTTTCGTCAAGATAAGCAATGCCCAGTGCCAACGCTACACTAGCGGTGGGGTTCTGAGGCTCTGGAAATGGTCTATGTGACAATTCTTCAACTGTAGCGGCACTCAAGATCTCTAAACACTTCGTAGCCTCTGGATTTCTATGAGTCCGATTCAACGCGCTTAAAATTAATGTTGCCACAGAAATAAGAGCAGCGTTTTGATTGAGGTTTTCTGTTTTCAGCTTGCAAGTTGCAACAATAACCAACGCATTTTCCAATTGCATAGAGTCCATCAAAACCATGTTTACATGATCAAGAAATCGTGTAGCTACATGAGCTATATAAATGGTCTCGTAACCACGCATTGCAACTGTCATCCAGTGAAAAAAAACTTCCGCCAACTCCGGCATCATTTCTTCCACAACTTTTGCTGGAACTTTGGCAAGTGGATTAGCTATAACGGCATTCCATAGATTGCAAATAAAAGCTACCTGCTCTTCTCTATGAAAATTAGATTCCAGCGTTGGAAAGTTCGTTGGTGGCTTGGTATTTGCCACCAATTGAAAACAATTTTTCATCTGCCTTGTCTTGCACCAGTATAGCACAGCCAGCGTGCAGCCTAGCTCTACCCACAGTATCCAGAGCCGAAAGTTCATTGCCTTGTCAATTGATTGCTGTAGTTTGTGCCATTGATGGAAAGTCTGCTCTATCTGTATCAACAAGGACTTTATTTGGGTGTTTGTTTGCTGCAGTGAGTCTACATGTTGAAGATTAAGGTATGCTAGAACACGAGTCATAGCCTGAATCGCTTCATCGATACTATCAGACGCGAGCTGCTCGTGTGTTATGGCAGCTATTAGGCGTAAAGATACCTCAATATTATCCATCGATAATTTGTCGAATTTGCTGGATCTAAGAAGGAAATCGATATGATTGGATGTTATTCGAGTATTGACGATTAAGCTTGAACAATGGCTCTTGGCATGACTGCGTTTGTCAATTATATCCAGCTACAGGTGCGGCAACGCTGCGTTATAATCGTTGTATTAGCCCTGGCACTCGTCAAATTAATTGACAACCGTCGTCGAGGCCATCTGGACCAGCTTCGAATCCAAGAAGCGCTAAGTCGTCAACTATCTCTCGAGTTTGACCACTCCAAGAATGACAATACATCTACCAGTCCGAAAACTGATCCTGTTGAAGAGTGGAATATCGTGGCAGAGGATAGCACGATGGCCTTATCTCTAGTCTATTACCCGATAGACAAGCCCGAAATGCACCACGTGTTGGTGCTTGTTATTCCAGGTAACCCGGGTGTTCCATTTTACTATCTCCCACTCATGCAAGAGCTCATCAAGCTGCACGGAAGACGTCACGAAGTCCGTTGCCTTTCACATGCTGGTCACTTTATGCCTTGGAAGAATAACGACCGTGCTTTCACTCTACAAGAGCAGCTAGAGCATAAAGCATTTTATATTGAACAGCGTTTGCTCGAAGATCCGTCGCTGCAGCTTGTGGTAATCGGACACTCGATTGGCAGCTACTTTGCACTGGATATTGCTCGGCGATTTCCTAAGAAAATTGCCAAGCTGGTGCTGATGCAGCCAACTATCATGCACATGGCAAAGTCTCGCAAAGGCAAGCAGATGATGCCGCTATTTAATCATTACGAGCATGGAGTCAAATTAGTCAAGGCAGTTGATTTTATTGTTCCTCCTTTGATTCGTCTCTGGATTGTACGTTGTATAGTGGGATCAAAAACGTCTAAGATGCTGCAATTAGCATCACTGTCACTAGTCAATCCAAGTGTCATGCGCAATGTATTGGGGATGGCAGCAAATGAAATGAAAATGGTGACGGATCTCGATCATAATTTAATCACAAAATTAGAGACAAGGACGCTGTTTGTTTACTCTGCAGTAGACGAGTGGGTGCCACCAGAGTTTGTGCAAGAGATTCAGGTGCGATTTCCGAATGGGCAACACCGCATCGTGCCGCAAGCTCACGCATTTATGATGGAAGCGAACGGAAGTCGTGACATGGCTGCGCATATCTCACAATGGATTGGTGACGTTCTCGATATTTAGATCGATAAAAAGAATTTGAACTTACTTTTTGGCAATGGAAGGTAGCAAATATACACATGCAATACTTAGATGGATACCAAAGCAATGGTATCGATTTTACATCCGCATACCAGAACTATGACAATCAGATTGCGGCCTTTGTGGTGCTAATTAATCTCGAATGCGAAGCAGACGAGTAAGTCAAGGTAATAGAAGTCGAATAATCAAATTTTATTCGTCAATAAGGATGTTTATATACCACTTTTCTTCTTATTGGTGTCAGTATTTATCCAATTTATTGGCAATACCATTGTGATAGCCTTCATATGCAGCTCGGACGTCATCTTCGTGCTTATTCGAAACTCACCTATGTGCGTTGCTTCTCCAAAGCGACGCGCACAAGAAAACAAATGATTCTCACAGAGCTCAAAGAGGTTGGTAAACTTACAGTTGGAGGCGTTGCATTGATGTCAGCGCTCGTAGTGTCTGGAGGCTTCGTGATCGAGACAGTCAAGACACTGAACCCTTTGGTGCCACCAGGAGTCATGCTGCAAATTTCAGATTCACATGGAAAATCATCTGATGTTCACGTCCAATATTGCGGCGATGGAGATGTAACAATTATATTTGATGGCGGAGTAGGGGAGACATCTTTTGACTGGGACAAAGTGGTAGTTGACGTGGCCAAATTCGCTACTGTCATCGCCATTGATCGCCCTGGCTTAGGCTTCTCGAAGCCTGGAAAGCTACCTCGAACATCCAGTCAAATTGCCAGCGAGTATAGTCAGATCTTAGAGCAGCTCAATGTTAATGGGAAGTTAATTCTAGTGGGCCATGGAGCCGGAGGGTATAACATGCGAGAGTTGGCGCAGAATTTGAATGCATCAGGATGCGGCTTCGAGTGTCAAGGAATTGTACTCGTAGACGCTCTCGAAGAAAACCTACGTTTTGACCTGGAGAGCATCTCGGATGCTGTGCACAAATCTCTAGCGGAAATGGACAGAAATGGTGAGATGGTACTATTCCTGGCGCGCTTTGGTTTCATTCGACTGATCAACGTCGTGCAACACGCCAAGATGGTAGGAAAATATTCCCCCGCTGCATTACCATATGTCGAGTACTTTTCTCCCTCTCCAGCTCACCGAGAAGGAGCACTTCGTGAGAACCAGTCGCTTTCTATAACTGAGCAACGCTTTCGAGATGCAATTGGACAGACACAATTTGACTTCCCTTGTGTTGTGCTCTCACACGGAAAAGCTGGAATGTTCGACAGTATGAAATTGCAGGCGGGTGTTACGCCTCAGACCCTGGTAGAACTAGAGCGCAGGTGGCTTGACGCACAAAAAAGGTTGGCCACAAATGTAAGCGGGCGCAGTGTGCATCGTGTGATTCACGATGCTGGTCATTGTATTCCCCATGAAAAGCCTGAAGAGATCACGAAGGCTGTTCGGGCCTTGATAGATGAGATTCAAGGAAACGGTGAGGGTCATCGCGGTCTTGCGTCCTTAACGAATGCTTAATCGTCAGGGCTGTATGTTATCTTAACATTTTAAGATCGATGCAATGATAGCAAGTCCACTACTCCTGCGGGTCGACGTTAGAAGGTTAAAAGCTCCATTTTAAAATAGACAGGGGCTGGTGTTGCCAGTTGTTAAAGCTGGTATGAATGGTCTTTTTCTCAAATCCCATGAAGCCCAGTCTGAGCGTGTGAGTCTTTCCTTATGTCCACTACCATAGCAGTTAGAGTCCTAGTACTGCTTCGTCTAGCCCACGCAATACGTTAATCGGCGTCGGTAAGTTGAGTGTGTACGATGATCGGCTCAACCTCAGAATTTCACACATCACGAAATTGACTTGAACGAGCTCTCGATCAACGGCCTCCGCGTCATGTTAGCCTACCTTTTGAGCAAACGATAAAGTACTGTCCAGACATAAGTGTAGGACTACGTTGAGTGCATTTGGAAACGCGGGCCACAAGGTGACTTCTTCAACACCGTCTGTTAAAGAGTAGGGCTTGCAAAAGGACTTTCGGGGTATCGCTTGGAAAAAATCATAAGCCTCCCATTACAGGGTCAAATCCTCTACGTGACTAGTGATAGGCGCTTTAGGATTCAAAATCTAAGGAGTAAAGCCTTACAACGAGTTCGGCGGTGGGTTTCCTCACCCAGTGCGAAATCTTGTTTTGATACTCGCCAGCACTTCTACCAGACTCTAGATCCTAGGAAACATCTCTTAAGGATGGAACGGGTCCCCCAAACCACTACTTATCCAATAAAAGGGCTATTTATTATCTCAAAAGTGCTCGTGGAGCGACTGCGTGGTCGTTTCGCTGTTTGTATGGACGACCCGCCCGCACGGGTGTCAGTCCGGTGAGCGACTTCAGATTGCCGGGTGAGGGTGGCGGTATTTGTTCGGGTGTGATTTAGATAGTCACTGAGATCGCTCTCGCCGAAGAATGCCTCGGCGTTCTTACCGAAAACGTATTGGTCGCGAAGACAGCTCACTGACCGAGGGGCTCGCTGTGCTATTCGCTCCGGTGCATCGAAGCAATATCCCGGTGCAAATATGCTCAAGAGAGCAGAATACGAAAGTGAGTGAAACGCCAGGCACAGTGGTTGCTACATTTCATTCTCTACAGAGAGTGATATCTTTGGCCTGTTCAATAGTTCCCTCTGCAGGCAAAAATTTGTCATTTGTGTTGACGCCGCCATCAAGATACTACCGACAGTTGCTTCAAGCGCTTTAAGTCGTGGCGACTCCGTTGGGTGCCGGTACGTCTGCCGGAAGCAAAGTTATGACTATAGAAGCTCCTCCGTCGGTTCATGCGGATCGCACCCCATCCACGGCTTTATTGCAATGCCGCGCCTTCGGCAGCAGCTACGGAGTCCCGTACAGTCTGACATTAATTGCATCGAACCTCTGCGTAAAGGAAGCTAAGCTAAGGTCACCGACCTTATGTTCTATACAAGAACCGGTACGAATGCCGTGGATTGCGATTCGCTGCCTCCTAGAGTACTTAAATCCTTTCCCGAGGTTATGCGCTCTTCCGTTCAAAACTGAGCTGTGTTTTATTTGCGGCAAAGCCGCCTATATCCAGAATTTTAGGTTTTCCTAATCCAATAGTAAAACTTTATCAATATACATTACTAATGGCAGTCCTGCCACGCAGTGGCTTCTTGTTCTTGTTACAGTGGAGCTACATATTTGTGTTTTCCATCAACATGTGTAATCTATACATATGTAGGTCACACCATCTTGCGTGACCCGCCCTTTCATATAAGGGTACGTGTAACTACATTACACTTTGAGTACGTGTAACACTGTGGCCCCCTATCGAAATCGTGAATACCCTCAATTTTTCATTAATGTCGCCTCATACGAGGCTCGCGTTTCTGAGACCGTTACGTCCCTAGGACCATCGTTAGACATTCTCCGATCAATGAGCCATGTGTCTATGACACGAAAATACACCAGCCTAGCTAGTTCCGATGGCGCCAGCGGGCAAACCCCGTTTATTTCCCATGCGCGAGGTGCATCTCCGGACAGTACATCCGCGGCTTCACGAGAAGCACATCCCACGCACTCGGTAACTAGGCATCACACATCGCGCCAACCCCGGGCGACGGAGTTCTTCGTCGAGGATTCGAAAAATGTCGACTAAGAGTCGGATACTTCCCAACATGGATCAAGAGGAGGATGAGATGCGCCAACGGCGCGACGTGAGCCCAGCTCGAACCTTGCGGACACCATGTCGTTCCCCAACCTCTCGACTTTCGGGAAGTGTTATTGTTACCAATTGCCTCGACGAGGCACAGGAGCTGCTGTTGGTGGCTGCCCACAGGGCGCCCTAATGCGCTCTTATCCACGATCGGTCCTAGGCCCTCGTGTGATGTACGGCTTCCGCTCGGCGGGTCCCGCTACTGAAGCGAAAGACACGATCACTCGATCATAAGGCGTCTACGTAGTCGGGCCCCCGGCCGATACACAAGCTGAGCTTGGCCAGCGAGAAATTCGCCGAGCTCGCTTTTTGGTACCGCCAAAAATCCCAATGGAATGGTACTGCGCTCGACTTCGAGATCAAAGAGGAGGCGCTCCTGTACCTGCACTATTCCTGTGGTGCCCTCCCCAGGCGAAACCGCTGCAGATGATGAAAAGCTCTTTGAGCGATGGTTGCAGTGGTACCGGAAAAATTCCTCGCTGTCTACCTTACAGCGAAGCCACAAGGAAGTTGACATGCGCGTAAAACGCCAGCTTCGATTTGAGTTTGCCAAACTCAAGGCACAACGCCGTCTTCCTGCGTAATGTCGCCCTGCGACACATGAAATCACCCATCACGCTTCCGCGAGCTCTGTGGTTTCTTATAGGATGGGTCTGCGTCCACAGCAGCTCAGAGCCATAGCTTGGGCTCAGCTCATGGCTCTCCGGCCTCCTGGGCTACTGCCGAGAAGCGCGAGGTGCGCGACGACGCGGAGCTTCATGGCCCTATTGATCATAAGCGTCCACGACGTCGGGGCAGTCTTGCCGAAGTGGCACCACAAATTCCCACTAGTTCTTGGAGTAGGGGTATCACCGCCACTTCACAAAATGTTGGGTAGGCCCGTCAACGACGTCGACCCACAAGGCGTTCCACGTGGTAGTGGACACCACCCTTCTCATGGAGAAGAGTCGGTGGCAGGCGATGAAGACTTGGTCGATCGCCGTGCAATGAACCTCGATGCTCTTCGGGCTCTGGAAGACAAAGTACGTCGTCATCGGCAATCCGCCGAGCATCTTTTCGAGGTCGCCTATCGCTGTGCGAAGACCTCAAGAGCCTGGAGCAATTTGTGCACCGACTGCCTCACTTTGAGTATTATCGTGCTTTGTCGAAGCAGCTCCTAGCCGTCGAGCAGACGAATACATCACTTCGTGTGACGGTAGAGCGCCTTGCGCCGTTGGCAACGGAAATTATTGCGCTCCGTGCTCATAACAAGTTGCTGGTTCAGCATTTGGGTATTCGAGCGTCTTTAGGCATTGCCCCGGCATCAACGCTTCCGGGTACACTTGCGCCGGATCCCGGTTTGTCTTAAGCAAGCCCACATAAAACACCTGGCGGGTGTACATCCTTCTCGGAATGTGCAGCGTATCCGCAAGGCCTCGCTTGGCCACAACCTCAAAAGGTCCAGAAAACCGTAGACAAAGCTTTGTCTTAAAAACTGCAGAGACTGCATCGGTAGTAAGGTTTCTAGCAATAAAACCAGGTATCTGATCTTAATGTTTTCAGTATTTCTTCTGCTTTTTCCGTCTGCATATTCTTTCTGCATTTCTTGTCGCTCACCCCTCGTATCGCGAACGTGTCGTAAAACTCTCAATCTAGTAGACAGGATGTCTCCGACTTCTTTACGCACGGTGAGGGGGCTGACATCAGCTGGCTGTTCGGCTGTACCCCCCCCCCAACAAGCCCTAAATCATGGGATGGTGGCGACAGCGAAACGCGACGATTGACCAGCCCATTCACATAGAACGGCGTGTAGCCGAGAGATGCACGCACTGCATCGTTCGAAACAAATTCTACAACTGGCAGCATGAAGCTCAAGCGCTTCGGTGTCTTAGTGCAGACGCTGCGGACGGCGTTCTCGATGAAGCAATTCACGCGATCAATTTGACCATCGGTCTGCGAATGGTCCGCTGTTGACATAGTCAACTTGGTGACCAGCACCCTGACAATTTTAGACAGAAACTTCCCAGTAAAGCTTGGGCCATATCAGAGACAATTAACTCCGGTAGTCCATGTTGCACAATCAACAGTCAGCATCGCTGTACCCACACCATCGATGTTGCCCGGTACTGCCGCAAGATGAGCCATCTTGCTTAAACGGTCCACAAAAACCACCACACCCGTGTTGCCCGCCGAGTACTTCGGCAGGCCAAACACAAAGTCCATACTCATGGACTGCCAACACCCAGAAAGTACCAGTAAACTGGCCAGCGGTGCCACCAAATTTGAAATGGATTTCACCCTCTGACACGTCTCACACGTCTCACACGTGCGCACATATAAGTTTGTCTATTTGTACAGCTTGGGTCACCAGTAGTGGCAACTCACCGAGCTGTACGTCTTCTTACGACCGAGTGGGGTCATAGATGATACAGTATTTCAAATCCTCATCGTGAGGAACCACAATTCGTGGCGTCTCCGTCAAATCGGTGCCATAATACAACAACCTGTTGTTCAGCGACTGTATGTGTAATCTTGAGCGCAAACGCGCCGACAATTTCTTGTCCGAGTTTCCAAACCCCTTGCTACCGCGAGCCTGTAGCAGCGCTGCACACATACCTTCACCCGCGTATGCGGTGCGGATCAAATCTGTCTCACCGTCGTGAGATGAGCAAGCTCACAATCCGGTCTGCTAGACAAACCATCAGCTATAGCATTCTGCTTTCCTGGCTTATGCATTACCTCGAAGTTACATTTTGCGAAGAAAGAAAGCCACCTGGTCATCCTCTGCGAGAGGTGAGGCGACTGAGTCGCAGGGCATAGTGA